GAACCGTACGTGCAACTTTCATTGCATACGGCTCTCCAAGTAAATCTTACAAGGCCGTATTCCCCAATTAAGATTCAGAACTTCGCGTTAGCGCCTTCTCTTCGATCCTTTGATAGGGTCGAGTCCCAAACTCTAAATTGTCTATACCATGCTGTGTTTCCTATATTTGTTTCCAACTCTGCGGCGAGCCTCCAGAGGCTCGCTAGAGGCCTTCGTCGGCTCTCGCAAGAGTCGAGCCTCTTGGGATAAGGTAAGGYATTGTTTTAGACATGTTCTGAAYRATGTCGTAGTTCAAACTACATCCTCCACAAAGAAGTCAAAATCGKCGCACTTAACAGCCATTTGCTCTAACCACTGAGCTACTAGAGACCTTTCTATTGTCGTATTTTTTTGATAGTCTTTTGAAAATCTATCATATTTTGTTGAAAAGCATCTTGTCTTTTTACTTGAGTAGTCTTATGCATGGTAAGTACTATAGCTCCAATCTAGACTTCGACACACACCAGCACACACACACACACACACACACACACAACACAAACACACACGCACACACCCACCCACACACACACTCCCGCAGTAGCTGGCGCACATGTAAAATCTACACTTTTAGGGAGTTATAACCCCTCTCCCCTCCAGTTGATTTGTCGAAGTTCCAGCTGTTACGGTAGTTTCAGCTGTGTGGTTGCTTACATCGGAAGGGACGTTGTAAACAAACCCATCATGTCACGATGATCCATGATGCTCCTTCAGTCGTAGCTCCAGTAAGCTGCCTCGCTGAAGAGATGATAGACCATGAGCATTTGTCGAATACTTCAGGCTCTCCGCGGTCATAACAAAACTACCACAGTACTCGCAATATGGGAGGACAAGAAGAAGGCGCAAGACCCAATATCTCCGGACAAGCAGAAATAACATCAAGAAACCGGAAATTTTCAGACCATGCAAGAGATGGCCTGAACAACGCAGGCACTCTCGGCGGAGATTCAGGATTTTTTTATTTATTTTTTATTTTTATTTTTATTTTTTATTTTTTATTTTATTTTTTTAAAGAAAGTTCGGAGCCGAAGAGGAAGAGGAAAATAAACAGATTGAGCAACAAGACTGGAATGAACCACAAACCAGAGAAGGAGAAGACGGTGAATGTGCAGAAGATGGTGGAGATGGGAGACGTGCCGGGGGAGGGAGAAAGAAACGAAGGATATGGAGGGACATCGAGGGTACCGAAACTAATTGGCGCGCTGTAAGTCATGAGGGATAGGCCGAATAACGATGCACACCGTTGAGGAGAGTGATATTGATATCGGAAATAGAAAAAGAGAAAAAGTCACGCGACGAGTAGTCTTCCCGGCACGGGAAGGGCACCCCTTCAACATCAAAACGACATCCTACCGCCTTCGCCCTAATAGAGGGCACGATAATTATAGCTGTACTTGGGCCAACTTTCGTTCTCGATACAGCAATAACGACGGTGACTTCTACTCGGAAGAAGAGGAGAGTTTGACGCGACGACAAGTGTTATGGTGGTGTGAAGGCTGAGAACAACAAAACGTTAGATGACCAAAATGGCGGAGGTGCCTATGGACAACCTTAAGGATTGAGGCTGAAAGGGGGTTAGATCGCGGAGTGTGGGTGGGAGAAGAGGGGGGGGTAGGAGAGGGAAGAGGAGAAAGACGCGGAGTGTGGGTGGGAGAAGAGGGGGGGGTAGGAGAGGGAAGAGGAGAAAGACGAAGGAAAAGTGGAGGTAGAACTAATGAAAAGATAGAAGGGACAAAATAGTAAGGGGAGGAAGAGGAGGAGGAGAAAGAGGGAGAAAAGTGGATGTAGAAAGGATGAGATGGGTAAAAGGAGCAAAAAGCCGGGCGGGGGGTGGTGGGGTTGGAAGGAGAGGAGGGGACAAACCTCCAGCCGCGAATGCGCTCACGTGCACACGAGCTTACTCTCCTGAGAGCATACACTCACGAGCATTTTTCTGGATGTATCTGGCCTCTTTTACGGTCGGGTTTGGACGCACTCGACCCCAATCTCGTCCACAGATGAGTTGAAAGAATCCTCGCTTCTTCCCCCCGAATACAACGGACGGTCATTATAGCTGAATCTAGACTGAAAGATGCCTCAAATACAGCTACAATGACCGTACGTTGTACGCATACAGTCACGATCGTGATGTGCTGTACGACCTGCAGACTACCCGTGGCGAAAGGTACGCTGAGATATATAGTCTGCAGGCCGTGCAGCGCTGCATCCATAAAACGCCTCCCCGTCGACGCCGGTATAATCGATAGAAACGCGGCAAGAATGATAGAGGAGGAGAAGAGAGAGAGAAAGAGAGAAAATAGGCGGAACGCCCCCTCCCCCGCCCGTTCTTGCGCGCCCGAATCACCGAGGAGAAACCATGCGGAAATGCAGAAATTTTGACAGGGAGATTATCCCAAAAAGAAAAGATACACGACCGCTCAAGAAGAGGGGGACGGTGACCTGGCAATGGGAATCCATTAATCAGTTTGGACAAGCAGCTGCGGAAACTTCAAAGGGAAGAGGAAGAACAACAAAGGGACAGACAAAAAAGGGAAATGGAGGGGAAACAAAACACAATGCACATCTCAATCCAGTGGAAATATGGTGATCGACCGTACGACTGTTCCGTTTCAGATAGAGGAAGAGGAAAGAGTAGCAGAAGTTGAAGAAAGCGGATGGAGAGCGGGAGGGTGGAGACGGAAGCCGGAGTGCGCAGCCATGGACGGGGAGCAGAGACGGGGACCAAAGAGCAGGCGGAGAGACGGGGCGACAGAGGCGAGGCGCGGGCGAGGCTAGAGGGGCAGCGAAGGAGAGGCAAAAAGGAAGGCCGAGGGGAAGGCAAAGAGGGAGAGGGGGACGCAGAAGGGGGAGGGGGAGGCTAGAGGGGAAGCAAAGGATAGGCAAAAGGGAAGGCCGAGGGTAGAGCAGAGGGGGGAGGGGGAGGCAGAAGGGGGACGGGGAAGCGGGAGGCAGAAGGGGAAGGCAGAGAGGGAACGGGGGATAGCTGCGAAAGACGAGAGAAGGAAACGGAGGGAGGCAGGGAGGAAAAGAGGGCGGTCCAGGCAAGACGGTGGGGAGATGGACAAGGGGAGTGGGGAGAGGGAAAAAAGATAACGGGAGAAGGTGGGGGTCATTCGTGATACGCCTCGTGGAAGAGCAGGAGGGAAAAAGACGGGAGGGAGGTACAGGCGCCCTGGGGAAGGATAAGGAGGAAAGCAACGAGAAAGGGGACTGCGCGGGAAATGTACTCTGCCATATCCCGTGCATCACATAGCACGAGATAGGAAGTGATATTGCAAGGAACCGCCGCAGTTTTGAGTTCATCCCTTTTTTCCCTTTTTTCTTTAAGTGCACAGAAGACGATGAATGGCGAAAGAGTAAAGAGCAAGATAGAACCCTTCAGCATAAAGGATTCCAAACCGTTATTAAAACTGATAGAATATTTCAAAAAATACACCCTGACTCATTACATTCCCGCAAAGTTAACAAGATGAGCATATGTGTTAACTCATCAACGACAGACGCAACAGAAGCGTCTACCGTCATCACCCAAATGGAACGCACGGTCCCTATCGTTGAATCTAGGCTGAAAGTTGCCCCACATACAGCTCTTGTGACCGTGCGCTCTTCGTGTGAAGACGAAGGGATTGGAGACGTTAATAGATGTTGCCGCAAGAAGAGATGAGCAAGAAGAAGAGAATCACGGGGAGAGAGAAGAATACCGTTCAAAAGGAAGGGGACAAGTGAGAGCTACGGGAAAGACGAATGAGAATCTCAAATAGCGAAAGAATCGCCAGAGAAAGAGACCGTTCCGTTACTTCCAAAGACGGACGGTCGACAGACCTCTCCCTCTCTCCCACCTCTCCCTTTTCCTCATCCCTCTCACACTCCCCTTCATCCCTCTCTTCTCTCATCCTAAAGCCCTCCACCGTTCAGTAAAAAAGGAGGGAGGGGGCGAAGAGTGAAGAGGGAAATGGCAAGGAAAAGGAGAGGACAAAGGGAGAGAGGTAGGTGACTGGCTGAAAACCGAGCGGGAACGAACGAGAGCAAAAGACAAGCAGAGAAAAAGAGGAAAAAACAACAATGGCGAATGTAGAAAGGAAAAAAGAAAGGAGACAGGGGGAGAGGGGGGGGGAGAAGGGGGGGAAAGAAGGGGGGGGGGAAGGAGGAGGGGGAAGGGGGGGKTGGGGGGGAAGAGTACAGAATGCGAAAGGGGAGGGGGGAGCAGAGGGAGGGAGTGAGAGAAAGCTCAGGGAGTGTAGAAAAAATAAAGAAAAGAGAGAGAGGGGGAGGGGGGGAGGGGGGAGGGGAAAGGGGGGGGAGGAGGGGAGGAGGGAGAGGGGGAGGGGGGGGCGGGGGGGGGGGGAGAGAAAGCTCAGCGAGTGTAGAAAATAAAGAAAAGAGAGGGGGAGGGGGGGAGGGAAAGCACAGAATGCAAAAGGGGAGGGGAGAAGAGAGAGAGGGAGGGAGAGAAAAATCAGCTAGGGACGAAGAGACGGAGGGAACACAGACGAAAGAAAAGGAGAGCCGAGAAAAGAGAGTAGAACGACAGGGAGAGGAGGGAGAGAGAGGAAAAAAGACGGAGAAACCGTAAGGGAAGGAGAGAAAGGGAGCGAGAGAAGGAACCAAGGGGGAGGGAGACGCTGAGGGAACAGGGACCGAGGAACATGAGAGCGGAGATAAAACATTATGACCAATGCACCCGGTCGAGGAACACGCCACAAGAATTCGGGAAAGACAGCATAACGGCTGATGTGCATGGAACAAGGAGAGGATGACAACAAGGCTGTCTGGTGCGAGCAGAGCAGAGGCAAACGGGACGGTAGAGAAGACAAAAACAAGGAGGACGGTCTCCCACATACCTTAGAGACGTACACAGTTTCACGGATGACAACAAGGCTGGCTGGTGCAAGCAGAGCAGAGGGAAACGGGAGGGTAGAGAAGACAAAAACAAGGAGGATGGTCTCCGGTCTCTCACATACCTTTGTGACGTACACAGTCTCACACTCTTGCTTGCAAATACAACACTTGAAGTCGTTCATCACAAATCGAAGGCGGGCCGTGCATTCCGAGCAAACATCGCGATGTCCACAACGGCCGATAGCCACCCACAACAGCGGGCCCGCACAGACTGCGCAAAGATCTTCCATGGCCGGATCGCCAGACACAACCACCTACCCTTTCGCCTTCTCCCCCTCTGTCGCCCACCTTGCCCAAGATTGTCAGATGCCCTTGTGACACAGAGAGAGAGAGAGAGATGGAAAAGGGCCGTCCTCTCCTACACACGCAGAAACACGGTCTCTCTACCTACTGCCACGTGGTGAAGCTGCTTTCACTCTGAATCTGCTGCCGTCGTTAACGGTGTTTTCCCTCCAAAGCTCCCGCCGATTCGTCCGCTTACACACCAACGTTACGCGCCTCCCAACTCTCTCTCTCTCTCTCTCTCTCTCTCTCTCTCTCTCTCTCTCTGTGTGTGCGTCGCCCCCCCAACCCGCACAGTTCCCACTACGGAAAAGCAGGTTGACGTGGCAGACTACGACCTCTCTCTCTCTCTCTCTCTCTCTCTCTCTCTCTCTCTCTCTCTCTCTCTCTCTCTCTCTCTCTCTCTCTCTGTGTATGCGTCGCCCCCCCAACCCCCACAGCTCCCAGTACGGGAAAGCAGGCTGACGTGGCAGACTACAACCTTGGCGAGATGCGCAAAGTCCTAATTCCTGTGCGCGCGTGAAGATCGACAAATACGTGCCAGATGAGAAGTTATCTTCTCGTAATGGAATTCAAAAAATATACACTGGACAATCCGCGGGCCGCTTCAACACCTTCTCAACCACTTCGATAATACGATACGAATCATAATAAAGCAATGATGGACGATTTCCAAAGCAATACACCGCTGTGCTGCGAGTCCGCGTCACATTCAATCTGCTTCAAATCCCCTTCTTGCAACCGACGTCGTCGAGCCCTGGGACTGAGACCTGCCTATGCACTCCCTGAGTAAGCGTCTTCCACGCCACAGGATACAAACGGCGGCCGTTCGGCGTGCAAACGGCGGGCAACGGGCACCGCGGCACTCTGTTGAAGGGGAAGGATATACAAAAAATATATATAAGACGGGGTGAAATCACCTATTCAGCTCAAAGGCTCATTAACTGACTGGTCAGGAGATATAAATGGCACCACCCCCTGGCAAGGTACACCCCGCCACCCCCCCCCAACTCGTCCCATCGACCGCGAGGACACGAAGATGAATATGCACCCCTCCTTTTCCGTCTTTTCCACCCCTCCTTTTTCCTTCTTTTCCACCACCCCTCCTTTCTCCTTCTTTTCCACCCCTCACCTCCTTTCTACCCACTCTCCGTTAATCACCGCCAACGGGCACCGCGGGCATAGATTTTCTTTCCTCCTCTCACCGCCCCCAATAACTACTTATAGTAATCCTTATACTCTTCTCCTTCTCCTTCTTCTCCTTCCCCCGTCGTCTTCTTCTCCTTCCCCGTCGTCTTGTTTTCCTTTCCCTTCCTGATGTTTCTCACAAAGCGCCTATGTCCCGCTCCTCGATCGCCGAGAGACCCTCCGAGAGAAGAGAAACCGCAATACCGACCTCACCCCCCCCTCTCTTCAACAATTTCAAATCAAGAAATCCAGAAAGGATCAACACACACAACCGTGCCTTGAGACCTTAGATGCAATCTCCGCCGTCCAATCCCTCCTGCATTCACAGAGTTCCACGAGCGAATCGGATTAACAGTCAGGAAAGGAACACGAACATACTGTATAAGATGGATGCCCACAAAGAGGGGGGGCGGTAGCCAAAAAGAATCAAAAAGCACACGTGTGAACGTCTCATATAATCACAAAGAAATAAAATCTCGATGAAAACAAAAAAAAAGATTGAAAATTATTATTAATGATATTTAATGACAAAATGACTTACATGCGCTCCATATTTAGTGGCAAGTTGGCAACAACGGCCTTAACCATAACCATGCGTTTATTACAGCCCAAACACAGAACGAATAACAAAGTAATAACTCCACTTACACCCCCCACAGGGCATCAATCACACACAACCCCCAAGAGCCTCTGCACATAGCAGTTTAATGACTTGGAAACGATAAAGCATGATCAAAGCGCACCACGCACAAGCAAACCAGTAGTTCTTCATTCTTAAAATTTTCCCCCTCAAGGTGATCCTCATCCATCTTCTCCTTGGAACTAAAAGGCGTGCGCCCACGTAGCAATGACTCCTAATTAGTGAGAACTCTCCAGCTACCGTCTTAACCTGAATAAAACGCCCGGCAATCATCGCCGCATCTGGGCTGAAAATTGTGCCAAGTACAGCTATAATGACCCGGCGTTCTATTCGGGAGAAAACGGTGCAAGTGCTGTAGTAAATACAAAACCCAATCCGACGACGTAATGCCAGGTAAAACATATCTATACACATACATTCAGTAATAGTAATGATACTATGGATGATGATCGTAATAACGACAAGAATGATTAAGAAGATGTTAAAGCTGATGAAGATGATGAAGAGACATGGACACTATAACAACTGTGTAAGCGGTATGGATCCATTCATTATCACTACCATTGACTGATTGGGCGGGCAAGGACGACTGCCGCGCAGTATCGACACATACACACTCATCACTGGTCTCTCTCCCGCCCGCGTCTCGTCGATCTTTTAATCCCGTTCCTCCAGAGAACGACACCTTAGTCAAATCAATGACCGATGGTCATTAATAATAACAACTCGAGGGACAAACTTGATTGTTTTACTCATTAATCATTGGTTAATAATACCTCAACCAAATAGCAATCGCAATGACCGGTGGTAACTAATCAACAAAGCGACCACTACCGTCTCCCCCCGAACACAACGCACCCTAAAAATGAAGGCATACAAGCTATATTTCCGGCCAGATACAGCCAAAACAAGGGTGCGTTGTGTTCGGGGGAAGAAGGTAGCAAAGCCTAACCAGCGTCAAGAAAGATCGCCAACCTGCTGTCCGGGTTGTCCTCCCCCCTCCACCTGCCTCGAGCCTTGGCATGTGCTCTGTGCCTACTCTGTGCCTGCACAGCACACGCAAGAGCTCCTTGCAATCACGAGTATATTCAAATATACATATACATATGTATACATACGCACGGAGAAGCCAAAATGTGTGGGAAGGCAAAATGTGTGCAGCGAGGCAAGAGCTGCTGACACATTACCGCCACGCCATAGGGCCTCCTCCACTACTCTAGCCTCGACAGGCACCAAAGACGGAAGTCAGAGCGGTGCATCTTTCCATGTTCTAGCGGAAAATTCACTCTCGTTTTCCACATGTCGAGACTAGTGGAGCCAGGCCCATAAATAAATAAATAAACAACCACACAAGCACGAACCCAAAACGACAAGAGGCGCTCTTTGCCGCTTTTTTCCCCCTGGGAAGCTCTTTCCCTGTCCCCTATCGGATCAATTTACCACGCAGCACTTGGCGCCACTTGTCGAGTCCCTCCGCAGCTTTCACTGGGACAGGCCAATTGCAGCGGGCGGTTTTTCATTCCCAAGGCGCGTCTGGACCACGCGCGCTTTTACGCGCCTTGTAGAAACGTAGGGCCCTTGCCTAACTACTCTCTAAAACCTTTTTTTTTTGGCGGGTGTATTTTCACGTAGAATGTCTAAAGATGCGCTCGCCCTTGCCTTCGTCTTTTTCCGATTTGGCGAGTGGTGGAACGAGGCCGGATATCACACCAAAGAGCTATGGTCCCACTTTTTTTTTGGTCTGGCCATTGATCTTCGTAATCTGTGGTCCGAAATGAAGGATCCGGGTGACTGAGACCTCGCCCCTGGTGAGCGGTAAATTTGCCCTCGGTGTTCGCTTGACTCTGAGGCCATCAGACTGGCAGGACATCTGGTTCAGCTCTGGACGTGCTTACCAATTACTGTCACGAGCCCGTAGTTTGTTTGTTGATGTGGTTGGGGAAGGGTAAGGTAGTGATTATGCTGTGTGTATGTTTTGTCATGTTCATTATACACAACTCGAAGAGTTTGTGTGTGCTGGGTCCCGGCTGGTGCATTATTTACGATGATCCTGGGATGCTCGACCTAGTTTCCAGCACGTGCCACTCCCCACCAATGTATGTGAGAGAGTGACTCTGTGTGTGTGTGTGTATGTGTGTGTGTGTGTGTGTGTGTGTGTGTGTGTGTGTGTGTGTGTGAGAGAGAGAGAGAGAGAGCGAGAGAGCCCTGCAGCATGCAGCATGTCAGTGGCGGGGAGCACGAGGGCAAGTGATGATTTCCACACAAAAAGTAAAAAGGTAATGTTCTATCGGAATACAAGAGTTTTCTGTTTTCAAAATTTGAATAGAAAGGGTACACGTTGTATTCAAATAGAACGTGCACGTTTTCTATTCAAAGTGTTTTTCATTGGAGAAAAGTTAACGCATCATTTCGATTTCAAAATGTTCAAAACTCAAGGACTGCTGCCTCTTCCGCCTCACACGCCGTTTTATTTTGAAATGTCCAACTCAAGGACTGCAGCTTCCTCAGCCTCCTACGGGCAGCGCTATCCGTCCTCCTCATGCCCTGCCCCTTGGTAAGCCCTCCCTTAAAATTGCCCACCCTCCCGAACGACTACCGACATTGAAAGTTGAATTGACGATGAAGGTCTGAATTGTATAAAACGCAACCTTGACGGGTTGCGAATTGACTTACCATGAAGGAGGTGAGGGGTGAAAAAGAAGGAACAGGAGGGGAGGAAGGAGGGAACGAAGCAGGTTATCACAGCATATTCATCCTCGTGTCCTCGCGGTTGAGGGAACGAGTAGCTTGTACATTCATGCGGTTGGAGGAAGCGTTTCCCAACCATTTTTTCGGAGTCGACTCTCAGTAAGTATTGGCGTGTCATTTTGTTGGATATCGATCGAGGCAAAACGAACATGCGGAGTCGTATCATGCATGCAATCGCAACTCTCAAAAAGTACTTGGTGTCATTTCGCTAGATATCCATCTAGGAAAATGCACGTCTCGACTCTGGAAAAATGGTTGGGCAACATCCAGATGACCGCTAGCCCAACAGAATAATGAAAACAGGGGCCAACTGCCTTTCGTACACGCTTCGAAAGTTTTTCAATGCATAGTCTCACATACTAATCTCAGCTTACACGCACATTCCCCAACGTGTTTCGATTGGTTGCGCTCCAATCATCCTTAGGGGGTTTTCTACATGACCCTGCCTTGCGGCCCGCCAATAGCCCTCCCATCCTATTGAGCACAGCGGGCCGATGCGGCCTTCCCCTCTTACATATTATACACCAAGTTGTAAACCTCGCCAACACGGTAAACCACATCCCCAACGGACATTTTTCCGCAGAGTTTTTCCAACATTCACTTCTCTCTAATTAGCTTCTCTTTCCTGACTTTAATTTCTCATTGGACCGGTTCGTGCAGCGTGGATCGTAGTTTTCACTTCCTATTACGTGGCTCGGTCGTCCAGGCAGTTACATGTGCGTGGCCCGTGACCTATACACTTTCAAATTCGCGAAATTTTGAGTTGTGTTTTCCTGCTAATTTTGGATCCACACGGGTACAGTTCGGGAGTACCGTGACTGAGTTGCTTAACTGGCAGAGGGGCTACCGTGGCATGTCAACTAATCTAATGCCACGTATACAAAAGAATAAAATTCGATGGCCTATACTATAATTTTTACGTCGGTAGTCCGATAGCCCTTCCTATTTATAAAATTACAAACTTACAATATTTCGTAAATTCGGTCTTTATTCAAAAACGCATCCGCTACTACTTACTAGTAATAATTTACGTGGTCAGAATTCGGTTTTTATTTTCCACGGGAATAACTGCATACCGCAAAAAAACTACCTCGCAGTACGATAAGAATAACTATTCCCTAAGTCTGGTCGCTACTCAAAACTGCACATGCCATAAGATTTCGGTCCGCGCACTGTTTTTTCACTACACCAGGTTCTCAAGCAGCCTCAATCACGGTTCCTTGCGAACGTTCGTGCCCTTAGCAAAGAATGTTAAGGTATTGAAAAAATGTCTCAGGTATTATACCCCGCTTATTTTTATTTTAAATTTGGTAAAGTATTTCGATGTGATCCTGAGGCAAAAATTGTTCAATTTATTTTTTTGCATGACATAGTTTTTTTTTGGATCTTTTTTTTTTTTTTTTTTTTTTAGGATCTTCCTTTGGCCTTACAAGATCGGGCCGTCCGGGAAAATAGGGTAACCCAGGCGGCCCTGCTGGTAACCTAGTTCAAATAACCGTTTAAATAGCGAGTTCGATACAATATTTTAAAAAAAATAAAAATTAAAAATATATTAAATATTAAATGTATGAAAAAATAATTACGTAAAAATTACAATATGATATATTTTGAAGCAGTTTTGATCATTACGTTATATCCAACATTTATAAAAAAATATTCAAATTGCTGCACTTTTTATCTGAAATTTCATAAAAATTGGTCAATTGCAAAATACATGTAGGTGTTGCATTGATATAAAAGGGGGAAGATAAAACATATAGTTAAAACAAAGTTTGACCATGAATGATAATTTTTTTTTTTTTTCCTGATATTTTTTCCTGAAAGATCACGACCTAATCTACAGACCCTCAAATTTCCAAACATTTTGGTGGATTTTTCTGAGCACAAAAAATCGAGAAAGTTGCCGCATGCAAAATAGCGGGATTGGACCCGTCGGCCTCTCCGTACAACCCGGCGCCTCCGTACGGTCACCACCCCTCCGTACAACCAGACCCTAACTCACAGACACTAGGGGTTTTCCGTGGCGGGGGGACCGGTGGTTTAATATATTAAAAACAAAACGCTTCATCCAGTGTAACGGGTATTCAGGCTGGGCTAAATGTCCGAACCTTAACGCTCGAACGTACGAGACCCCTTGGGGATACGCTCGGCCGTTACGCAGAACCCCCCTCCCCCCCAAAAAAAACAAAAGAATAATTCATAAAAATATAAAAAAACGATATGTTATGAAAATATATATATATATATATTTACCTGAGCATAAAATTTAAATTCCTTACCAAATATGACATAAAAATAAAATACAGAAAACAAAACTAATAAAAATATAAATAAAATTAGTGAATGCACGAACACGTTTTTGACACCGCCATCTTTGGCGATTTTTCATTTGTTTTAGGCACATCTAAATACCATCAAAATTTACAGATGCGTATTTTATATAATATAAAACTCATTAAAAAAAAAAAAAAAAAAAAAGATTTTTTAGGCCCCGTAATGAATTAAAAAAAAAATAAAAAGTGGAAAAAAAATAAAAATAGTGAATGGGCGAGCACGTTTTGTCACCGCCATCTTTGGAGATTTTTATTTTTCTTTGGCTTAGCAAAATAACTTTAAACTTTATACGCATGCACCTCACATCATTGAAAACTCAAAAAAGTAATTCAAAAAAAAATCATTTACTTATTTGTCCCGCAATAATTTTTGGCGGAGACCGAATGCCCGTACGTATGGAGGTCGGCACGAAGACCTCCATACGTACAGGTTGTTGACCCTCACTGCACTATAATAGACTAATATGAATAAATAGTAGTATTAATGTATAATTATTTTGAGAAACAAACAAAAATAAAGCTTTATGAGTTTTCTTAAACTTAAAATAATTAAGGTTAATAAGGCGAACAATGTGATTATTCTAACATAAATCTTTACAAATAATTATGAAAACAACTAGTTTGACAATTTTTTTCATAATGGGTAGTTTACCTAAGACAAATGTTATATTTTAGGTGTGTACACAGTAATATTAACGGTAAACTTAACTGAAAGGTCTGGATATCTAATAATGAATGCGTTAGCATCGAGAAAGTCGTAAAATTTAGGATCTGTTTTTGATTTTTTACAACAGTTTAATTATATGAATGATCGCATGCTCGCATATTTCATTACCACCACAAATACTCATAATATTTTATTCGAATAAGTATATAGATACATTTTCGTATTGTGCAATAAGTTTCAAATAAATAACATACTTCATTAAATGAAGATTGAACATCAACTGTCTCCCTATAA